CATTGGGGACTCTAAGGTGTCATCAAATGATTGTTCCCCAACCCTGGTGCTGACGTAGAAAGGAGTGGCCCCTTCCTCATCTTCCACTGTGGACACAGGAGAAAAAAAGATGGAAGCATCTTGTCCCACCCACCTTCCTCCATAACTCAACCCTCCCCACATCAGTGTGCATCCCCCTCAGCTATGTGAATAATATTAAAAATAAAATAATAAAATATTACTAACATAGGGCAAGAATAGATACATCCCTAAAGTGAGACAACAAATGTATGTTTCTGGTATTTCCAGATAAAAGCATTTTTTGGTGTTTTCTTTCTTTCTTTCTTTCTTTCTTTCTTTCTTTCTTTCTTTCTTTCTTTCTTTCTTTCTTTCTTTCTTTCTTTCTTTCTTCTTAACCAACATATATGGAGATAAACAGCATGCAAGATATTCATTTGCTCAAGTAATGAAACCACATTTTGGTACAGCAGTTGCAACTACAGTCTCTATTTGGTTACGCTTAGGATAATCCACTGCCATTCCACAATATCCATCTGTCTTCTGTACAGGTCAATTGCACTTGTCTATTTGGGATACGCTGTGAATCCCCATACTTGCATCTTTCAAATCGCATCTGGCATCACTAACCTTTGCAGTTCCCTCAGAAATGCGGCATTGCTGTTGGTTTACTATTTCCCTGAGAAAAGACAGTTGTAGTGGTTTCTATTTGGCTTTGCTTGTAACAGTACATAACAGTCAGGGAAATAATATCCCCTGGTTCTATGATACTGAATATAGCTATTTCACTCTTACATTCTAGAACTGTGGACACGACCACAGGACATGTTTGACAACTATTGGGGTCAGGATGAGATGCATCTGAGTTAAAATTCCACGAATAGCCTTATGTCTGAAAGCTATTCTGACAAGAAATCCATAATGCATTTAGATCTCCTGGAATTAGTATCAGCTCAGGGCTTTTATCCAATGGTCTACAAAAGGCATGATTATTTCCTTTCTAAACCATATGAAGCACAATCTTTTCCTCTGAAAAGACTGAAGATTCCTTTGAGGAGGGCTAGCAGAAAGATTAATATAATTTTGGGAGGCCCAGCACAATGGCTTAATGGTTCCTTAAAACCGCTGGGATCCCATATGGATGCCTTTTCATGTCCTGTCTGACCCACCTCATATCCAGCTCCCTGCTTATGGCCTGGGAAAGCATTAGAGGATAGCCCAAAGCCTTGGGACCTTGCATTTACATAGGCAACCTAGAACAAGCTCCTGGCTCCTTGCTTTGATCACCTTAGCTCTAGCCATGCACGAGGGGAGTGAACCAATGGACAGAAGATCTTTCTGTCTCTCCTCTCTGTAAATCTGCCTTTCCAATAAAAATAAAATTTAAAATACATAATTCGTGGTAGGGTGCCAAGGACTGAATCCTTTCTCAGGGGACCTGAGCTCTTCCACATTGAAGGGACTCTGGAACTGATCTGGCAAGTCACTGTGAGAGTGTAATTAGTTTGCTTTGGTTTACTTGAGCTGTACCTTTTCTGTTTGTATAAGTCAAGTAAGAATTTAGCAGAATATTTACCTATTGAACTTCTAAAAACACTATTATCAATTAGCTAGTTCCACAAGGTCTGTATTTCAGTCTGATTTCACCTTGCAAGTCAGAGGTCATATGCATTGTAAGTCAGCCACATTTTTGACAAGACTCTGCAGTTGCTTTTAAGCAATCTTTGCCTCACGACTATAGGGGATGAGTCCACGTTAGGATGCACAGGCTCATCCTTTTCTCTCACTAGTCTATCTTTCAGAAACAGAAGCAACCAATCAATCTTACATACCATATAAGCCATCACTCATCCTTAATAAAGGGGGCTTGTTTAGGAGTAGGGAGATATTCTGTGTTTCTATTGTCAGATAATGCTATGGATTATCAGGGTCTTTTTTTTTTAGCTACTAAAATTAAAAATATTGAATTTAATCAGAGTAAAGACCCATTTCAGAAACTCCATAATAGTTCATAAAATTAGAAAAGCTTAAATTTCTGTTCCCCTAGAAACACCTAGCACCAATATCTGAAAAGACAAACTGTATATGGAGACACAGGCTATTATATGAATAAGAGGAGATGAATGACAAGTGTAAACTTAATATAAGTTCCTGCTTCTATAAGATATTGGTTCCTGCTTCTATGTGCTAAGAAGTTATAATGCCTGCAAGTTCCAGCCTTAGAAATCCAAAGGCCTGGGAATAAGAAAAGTTAATTATAAGTTTTAGTTCAAGTATAAATCTAAAGGTGGGAGAAGATCAATATCACAACTTAAAGATCACAAACTGAGAAAGTAAGTTATTTGTTGATCAACATATTATTTTTTTTTCAGATTTTCAATAGGTTGCCTGAGGTGCATCCACATTGAGAAGGACAACCTGGCTTAATCAGATGGCTGACTGAAATACTATTCTCACCAGACACACAGAGATACAGCCAGAATAATGTTTAATCAAATATTTAAACAAATGAATATACAAAGTTAATCATATACAGTTTATGTTTCTTATGTCAGGGTCATGGTCTGAGAAGGCCCTTTATTGAAATCACTTATGTGGGCCCTGCGGCGTGGCCTAGCGGCTAAAGTCCTCACCTTGAGTGCCCCAGGAACCCATATGGGCACCAGTTCTAATCCCGGCAGCTCCACTTCCCATCCAGCTCCCTGCTTGTGGCCTGGGAAATTAGCAAAGGATGGCCCAAAGCTTTGGGACCCTGCACCTCCATGGGAGACCCGGAAGAGGTTCCTGGTTCCGGGCCTCATCTTGGCTCAGCACCGGCCATTGCGGTCACTTGAGGAGTGAATCATCAGATGGAAGATCTTCCACTCTGTCTCTCCTCCTCTCTGTATATCTGACTTTGTAATAAAATAAATAAATCGTTATAAAAAAAAAGAAATCACTTATGTAGATCGTTTGGTAAAATACAGGTAAAAACCAGTAAATCTTCACTGAGATAACGCTAATAAGGACAAAAACGTTCATGTTCAAAAGATGGTGTTGATGGTATTGGGATCCTCTCTGAGAGATCACTGTGTCAATGAAACCCTTCTCATGTGCTTGTAATACTTAAAGGCATGCAGTTACATCACATTACTAATATGTTTATCTTACTAGTGGCAAATCACAGAAGGATGGAGTCCTGAGAAGGGTGTGGGTCTCTTCTCATCCGTTAGATCTTCCACCAAGTCATGATGTCTCCTTGGGGCGTTTGGCGACACACATGCTTATCTTTCTTTAGCTGTGGTTACTATGCCAGTTTTTAATCCTTTGAATCCTAACGGATACATACGTAGAATTGCTTATCACAGACAAGTATTTTAATGCCCTACTGGAAGTGAAATTAAGTACTCAAGGCAAAATAATGACGTATCAGCTACGTTGATGGGAGCAGAAGCTAAATCGGCAGGATTACAATTTTGATTCAGTGGTATCACCAACTGGACTTCACTGGAAAAGCTTCTAACAATCTCCAGGCCCACATCAGTTTCCTCATCTACAGAACAGAGTTTTTGTGAAAACTAGATAATGACTGCACAGATGGTATTTAAAAGAATATCTGGCAAAGTAGGAACAGGCTGACAGCACAGCGGCACATGGAGACCAATGGACACAGGAAAGCAATGGAGAAAGTGGTGTGATGTTACAGTGACCAGACACCCCAGTGGGAGTCAGTGAGTGGTGACCTCAACTCCACCAGAGGCCAGAACTACACCAGCAACCAGGTGGGAAGGGGAGTTCACCAGGAGCTCAGCAGGTGAACCCAGAAAAAGAACTGCCCATCCTGCTGGTTTGCTTGAAATGACCAGGATTAGAGAGCAGCAAAACCCAAACAGGCAGTGTGGGAACAGCTGACCTCTCACAGGAAACTCTACAGGCCAGAACAGAATGTAGCAACACATTCCAGATTGTAAAAGCAAAAATTGTCATAAAAAGAATAACTTACCCAGCAAAACTTTCCTTTGTCTTTGGAAAGGAAATAAAATTCTTTCACAGCAAAGAAACACTAAAAAGAATATGTCTCTTACAGACCTGTCCTACAAATGGTACTTAAAGATGTTCTCTTGACAGAGAAAAGGAATAGCATCCACCTAAGCCAAAGACAAATGTGAAGAACATCCCAGTAAAATGGCAACAGAAGACTAAATCAATGAACAACCCACTGCTAAAATGACAGGAACAAATTACCATGTATTTATATTATTCAAAGTATTCATTGTTGGCTTAAATTCATCAATGAAATTTCATAGGTTAGTGGACTGGATTTAAAAACAAAACCCATCTATTTGTTGCCTACAGGAGACACATATCACCAACAAAGATCAGTGGTAACTATATCTCTTGGATTTTTCATGCTTTTGTTTTTATTTTCATTCCTTCAAACATTTTTTTTCCTCATTAAATTTGTCACAGACTCATAGGTCATACAGTAGCACTGTTTTCTTCAAGAAGGTTCTAATTTTCCTTTTCTTCAGTGACATATTGTAGTATGTGCGTACTTTCAGGTCAAAATGGACTCCCAATGAAAATGTTAAATATATCTTAATAATAGGATGCTGGATTCTCTGCCATTGTCGATGCCTGCTATGATGGACTTACGACAGTTTATGAAGAACTATACTATTGTAATAATATAGAGGACCTCTTTGAGGAGGAGGAGATTTGGGAAGGGGGTAAGGGAAATGCCAGAGCCAATAGAATTGTATCATGAAATAATAACAACAAAAGGAAAAATTAAATTAAAAAATGAAACAAGAACAATTTCAGAGAAAAAAAAATTGTCAAAACTAACAAGCGACCAGAGACCGTTATCATAGCGTGTTCCAGACTAGCGGTCATGTCCTCTCTTCTCCAGTATGGGCCTTTGACTTATTAACCTTCAGGATTTTGATTCCCCTGGGGAATTCTATGACTCTGTGACTCTATGGTTCTGTAATTCCAAGGCAAAGCACAAAAATCGCCAACATTCCAGAGAGCCTTGGGACAGGAAAACAACATGGTCTAGACTGAAGAATTCATTTCCCTCCATTTCAGAATACCAACTACACCACCATGGCGTCAAGAGAGACACACAGTCCTGTGTTTCTGGTATTTCCTCCAGAGATCAATGTCCCGGATTATCAGCCAACAGGCATGACTGCTACATCTTATGAATCCCAAAGCACTCTGGAGAAACTACTAGTTGCAAAAATGAAAGTCTCAGGGGTAAGAATGACCACACTTGTGTCCTACCAAGAGAGAAAAGGATAGAAAAGAAATACATGATGACAGAAGTGTTTAAGGTAGTGAGGAATTCCAATTTCGATTCCCAGGCTATTCAAAGAGTACGGATTATGTTTCTATTCTAACTATGAATTAGCCAAGATTTACAAGCTCCTTCAAGTCATTCTCCCAAGAGATTATGACATTTTTCTAGATAGTTTCCAAGAAAAAAAGGAAAATGAAAACATAGTTGACAACAGTAAGTCATATACTAATATCCTGGGTTATTGTACATTATAATTTCTTATTCAAAAATAATTCACAGATTGACTATTTGTCAAATATGTTTATATTTACACATGGTCTTTTGCAGAGGCTCTTAAAATAGCATAAATATCCATCTTTTCATTCATTTATCTATTTACTCACATGTGCACAACAACTCAGATGATTTCATAGACCACTGTATACCAGATACAGGAATTCAGAAAGGGCTCAGGAGCACTGCTCCTTTCCTTATTTACAAAAAAAAGGGATTAACTGCCTTTTATCCAAAGTATCTTCTAAATGGAAGAAAAGCTACAATTTTGCTTCTGCCTCACCGTGACTTCTTCCTTTCTTTACAGACTCTCCAGATCCTGTTTGGAATTATGATCTTTTCATTTGGGATGATTTTCCATTTCTCCTTTGTAAATCCATATCCAAGGTTTCCCTTTATATTTATTTCAGGATATCCAGTCTGGGGTCCTATTTTTGTGAGTATAATGATTCAAGTTGAATTTGAAGCCAATGGGGATGTTATGACATAAGCTGGTTCACTTATATGAAATTCTTTGAAGAGGAGGAGGGATGTGGAATAAGCCCAAACATTACCACTTAATTCACCAGTTCTTTACATATTATCCCTGACCCTTGAAGTTCCTCCAGGATTATTCCTTCATGCCTTTAAGCTGTTGCTCTGTTCACCCACTCAGAATTGGTTACTATCTATGATAAGCCAGACATGGAAAGGAAGGCAACCAGAATCCAAAAGTTAACACAAGAGGCTTTCCTTCAGTGGGCTCCCATTTGAGCAAGGAAAGAAAAAAAAAGTGCAAATGCAGTGTGATAAACAACTGTCATGTATACACACTGAATGCGTGTGTAAGTAAAGCAAAAAATTCTTAGTCAGCGGGCCTCTCAAGCATACATTTTGATTTGCACAACGGGCATTTAGTTTAGAATATTTAATATCATTCAGTGAACATTAATTTAGCACCCAATTTAGTGCCAAAGAATAGGCAGGCTGTGGAGATTCATAAAAGGGCAGTCCTTCATCTTTCCACCACATGAGATGAGTAACAACAGACACAGAGACTTCCCTCTGCAGGAAAAGCATCTGCACAGAAAGGATGCTGATCAGAAGCATTTTCACTTTGACTGAGTTCTGAAGGGTGAGTCACCATAAGTCACCGGTGAGGACACACACAAAGGATGGGAGCAGGGAACTCTGGGTGTCAAAGATGAGGCTGCCAAAGGAGAATCGAGAACCATGAGTGAAAGAATGAAAGTATGGGAAAGTGTTTTCTTACTCAGCAAGCTATAAGGACTCAACACAAAGAGTAAGAGTAGGAGCGATGAGGTAGAGAAATATTACCACATTTAAACAGGGGTTACTGTAACTACATTTGAAGTTTCCACTGTGTAAGATGCTCCTGCATTTGCTCTACTTCCATTTGCCTTTCAGAATTACCAGCACATCAGTTCCACCTCCCCCTTATGTTCCTATCCACTAAGGACACATTATGTTATAAGACAGAATCAATCTTACTGACTATGAACTAATTGGACATCTTTCTGACACTGTCAGGGCTGAGTCAACAACAGCTGTTAAGAGGAAAATGGATAAGAGAACTAAAACTTAGTGGAGTTTTAAAACTTTACATGTTCAAATGAGTCATTTGATCTACAAATGATTTCTAATCCAATATTCTGTCCACTAATCATTTGTGAACAGTCATATCGTCTCACCGCCCTGAGAACCGTGAACTCAGGAGAAGGACACAGAAAGAAAATGTGTGGGGATCTATTCTGTAAACACTCTGTCACTTCAGCTAAAGATGTTCATCACTAAAATATTTGTTCTTTTTAACAGTTCATTAGTTCTGGAGCGTTGCTAATTTCACTAAAGAGAAAAATGACAAGACCTTTGGTGAGTTATATTTGTTAAAACTGCATGAATTTGAAATAATTTGCTCTAGCTTTGAAAATGAATCTGGAAAATCACTGGACCACTAGCAATCCTACAAGGTGCCAATGATATGCACCGATGGCATTTTCTTTCTATCTCGTTGTGTCAGAAAAACATTTGCTAAGTCATCCAGCTTAGAGGAACTCAGTGACTTATCCAGGTTTCCCAATCAATTAACAATAGAGTAGGGATGATTATTCTAAGAAGTCAATCATCAATTCTTAAAGTATTTGTGCTACCTAGTGCATACCAGACACTTTAATAGGCACTAGTTTGTCTTATATGAAAGACACACTATAGACAACCTAAGCATAATCAGGAAAGGATACATTGCCAGGTGGGCATTTGGCCTAGTAGTAGAGATGTCAGTGTCCCCCATGAGAGTACCTGGGTTGGTTACCTGGTTCTGGCTCCTGGCTCCATTGTTCTACCAGTGCAGACTCAGGGGCAGCAGTGATGGGTGACATAATTGGGCTCCTCTTCTCACCTGTGAGACCTGGACTGCACTCAAGTAGCATATGTTTATTTTCTCTCTCTGAAATAAAAGCATTAAATTTTTACAGGGTTAAACTTTAAATGAGTGTAAAATTGCAACTTGTACATAAATTACAATTATCTTTAATGATTAAAGGAGATCAATGTCAATAAATGATCTTTGGTAAAGAACATCTTCTGTAAGTTAAACGATAAACATAACAGGTCTTAAAACTGTAGATGGGTCATGAATTTTACCAGCGTATCAAAATATTATGCAATACAGCCACCCAATTAACTCCTTTGTTTTGTGTGATCCCATATATCCAACTAGTAGGAATTAATTTAGATATAGAATGGGAGTCCCGGAGGCATTGTTCAAGTTCACTGGATCCCCTTGTTCTGTGGACAAAGGTCTGAAGTTCAATGAAATGGAATGGATTGCGTATAATCACCCAGCTGGTCTGTGGCATGGCAAAGCGCGTAAATCCTGCGCTCCAGGCTCTCCGTTCACTGCTTCGTCTATAGTGAGTCACCGTGTTGTGCTCTTATTCTTTTTCAGATAAAGGCCGGCCAAATACTGAATTCTCTTAGTGCCCTGGGAGCAGCATCTGGAATCGTTCTCCTCATATTTGGCTTTCTTATAGACCAAAACTACATCTGTGGCTATGTTGCAAAAAACGATGAATGTGATGGTACTACTGTGCTATTCATTGTAAGTTTATCGTGTTTCTAGACCAAATAGCCGATGATATCTTCATATTTATTTGCACCACCTAAATCATGTTGTAGATGCACATGTATTTTTAAATTCATCACAATACGTGGAGTCTTTAATACTTGATAAATATTACACTAGGCATTGTGAAATTTTAAAAAGCCTACCTTGAGAATTCACATGTCAGCAAAAAGCATTAATTCATGGCACCTATTTTAAGTCAAAGAGGTAGTTGGTAATTCCCATGATTATCATTAAAAGGATAGTTTTGCAATATTGTACTCTAATTAAAAGAGATTGCCATAGTGAATTTTTCAATTGTGTTCTTTTTACAAGAGACATTTATACTAATAATAAGAAAGTAGACATGGAACAAATAGAATTACCACACATAGGACATAGGACTTTTATCGTGATAAAAGGGTCAGTTGACAAAAGAGAAAAAATTACCACAACTGATACAAAACAAGTTTTCTTCACACCATACTATAAGAACTGCACTGAATGACAACAAAAATAGCTTTTAAAATATCAAATTGAAGAAGGTGAGATAGAAATCCAAAATAGATCAAGGATAAAATAACAAAAACATTCATACCAACTAAATACAAATATTGAAAAAGATGGAAGACTAAAAATTAACTAAATATTGAATTTCAGAAATTATAAATTGAAATTAAATGAAAAGGAAATTGACAATAAGAAACATTAGAATTAAATCAAACAATATACAATATAAGACACACAATACAGACAATCAATAAAGCTAAAAGGTTAAGGTTTAAAATGAGTGATAAATTGCTAAAACCCTGGCAATTGATCAAGAAAAAGGCAGATTAACCAAATCAGAATCTAACAAAGGTGAATCACCGTAAACATTTTAGCTGTTCACATTAAAGGGATATTTTGGACAGTCTTACAAAAATAACGTGACACTTTAGGTGAAATTGACAAAAATTCCTTATAAAATTCATCTTTCAAAACTACGTCAATCCCCCTGCCAGAATATAGCGTAAAATAGAACGCTAATTACCCTTATGTGGAATAAGATGTAACATTTGTAATTTTTGAAGCTTTGCAAAAAGAAAGAAGCAGCCTAGACGCAGCTTAGTTCTTCAATATTGAGAAAAAATACCAAATTTAGTTTCAGAAAATTTTCAAAAATAACATTCTCAGTTCACCTTTGTGTGTGAAACTGTCACAGTGCTGATTCTAAAATATGATAAGCACATTATTAGAAAAATCGTAGCTAATTACAGCTTGTAAACTTTGTGTAGAAGTCTGGAAAAAAACAGTAGGAAATCAAATTTGACAGTATATAAGAGAATATATCATTACCAAATCAGCTGTTGTTGGAGGTTTAAAAACTGGAAAAGCGCTTTTAATGCAGACGACACAAAATTTCATGTTTCTATTCAGAGAATGCATATGACCAATAACAAATGGCACAATTTATAAAAAAAATAGTATGAGGAAGTAACTTAAAATGAAAAAAAAAAAAAAAAGCAAATCCAAATGCCAAACTTGGAAATACACACATTCATAGCAGGCAAATGTCAGTTAACAATAGACTAATAGTTACAATCACTTAACTGGCATAAAAAATTGAAAACTTTCAGACTTACCAACGTCAGGAACACGATGAAAAGAATGTGAAGAGGGTGTTATTATATTTGTACATATCAGTGGTAGAAATACAAAATGATATTTATATTTTAGAAAGCTGGCAGATTCAGAATTAAGTGAAAAACAAGCGTGCCTTCTAAACCAGGTTATATCTCCATAGAAACTAAATCATCCGAATACTAAATACATATGTATAATAATGATACTATCCAGAGTGGTCTGACAAACAAACAAGAAAACTCAAAAAGAGAAGGAGAAAGAAATAAATTAGTTTCTGTCACTGAAGAATCAATGAACGATGGCAAATCACCTCACCAATGTAACCATGAAGAACCATTTGGCTCTCAAATGAGCGCTTATTTAATCTGTGATTACACGATAGAAAACAATGACTATAGACAGAATGTTAATTATACTAACCCCTGCAATTTGATATAGAAAATATAAAATTTAAGACTCAGGATATTGGTGTTATGGTAAGGCTGGTGCCAGGTTTAGTCCCTGTTGTTCCACTTCTGACCCGCTCCCATCTAATGGGCATGAAAAGCATCAACACTCAGCCAAAATACTTGGGCCACTGCCACCCAAGTGAGAGCCAAAGAATCCCGGGCTTGTGGCTTCAGTCTGGCCTGGCACTAACCACTGAGAGCATTTGGAAAATGAACCAGGAGGAAGGAAGATAGCCCTCTGTACCTCTCCCTCCTTTGTAACTCTGTCGTTCCAATTAAATAAATAAACAAAACTTCTGAAAATTATCCCCCAGAATATTTTAAGACTTAACCAGCCTAGCACTAGTACACATTTTCTGGACTACTGACCGCAAGATGATAAAATACAAAATACTTCAAACCTCTTTGAAAATTACATATATATATAACATATATATATATATATATATATATATATATATATATATACAAGATGCTACCTGTAGCGCAGTTTTCTTTTCATGTCTTTCTTTCTGCATGTTCCTTTGTTGCTAGGCCTGTATAAACTTTCTTTTTTTTTCCTTTCTGTTTCTTTACTGTTCTGCTTTTGCCTCTTTTTCCATCACCTTCTTTTTCACACACCACTCTTTTCACATACATCACTTTGCATTATTTCTTTATTTATAAAATGAAAGTTCTCTTATACTGAATTTAGAAAATGTATCTTTATGTGACTTTTTATAAGAAAATAACACAATTTTCTGTGCCAGGCGAGGCCAGATTATACTGTCCTCCATTAATTTTACTCCTGAGCATCAGAAAAACTTGACAGACTTGCAGATTTTCCTTTGCCAATCTCATGACTCTTTGTATCTTTTATTCTCGTGTTATAGGGAATCTTGATTATGTTGATGATCTTCACCATTATTGAATTCTTCATTTCTCTGTCCTTCTCAATTTTGGTGTACCACCCAGATGATGAGTGTGACGAAACTTGTTGAACAGCATCGTGAGAATAAAGATGTGTTATAATCTTATTTAAAGGAACACAGAATCCTAAGGATGGCAACTCCCTGAGTAAAGGGGAGTAACTAAGACAGGCAGATCTGGGGACATTTTAGCTGATAAAACATGCTCTGTCATCTGGCTGCACCGTCTCCCCTCGTTCCCAGATGGAATCGTCCACTTGGTGTCATTGCTTCTGTTCGTAATGCCTCCTCACAGAGCGGCAATGTGGTGATCGTTCCTTACCAAGATCAACCCAAGGTCACGCGCACCTAATTTCTCTGGCTTACGGAATTACTGCTGACCTCCGATAAGAGACTAAATACAGGCCATAGCTGTGTCTATACTGTGTGGAGGCGTGAGTTTCTTGGGGGAAAATTTAGCTTACAGCTTTTATGTCATTGCTGTAAGATAACCAGGTCAACCAGAAGCACAACAATCATGAAAGCGAGGTGGTATTGGTGTGTTTCAGGCATCGCATTGAGTGTTGCATATGCTAATCATTTAGCCTTACAAAAATGCTAAGACATAAACTGCAGTCTTCTATCCACCTTACAGACAAGGAAGCGGAAGCACAGAGAAGGTTATTTGGACTCAAAGTTTGCAATGACAAGGGCATTGTGGTAATTGACCATCTGGCTCTGAAGACCAAGCTCTTAATCCCACTGCCAGCATTTCTTAAACCATTTTGTTCTTTGAATCCTTTCATGTCTTCGAAATTATTAGGACTCGTCATATGTTAATACGAACAACATTTTACTGAAATAATCATATTTTAGAAAAAATATTTAGTGTAGAGAATGGCATTGATTTGTATTTCCACAAATCTCTTAAATGCACTAGTTCCTAAAAATGACAGCATATGCAAATCATCTGAAGAAATTTTGCAAACCCCAGTGTAACACTGATTAAATCAGAATATAATGAGAGGCACGCTTTGGTAGTTTTTCAGAACTTTCCGATGATCCCAAAACTAACTTTGGGAGCCACTGGTTTACTCTAGCTTAATGGTAGACAACTGGGTTCTTTTGCGGTCTTTTGCTTTAAATCTTTTGTGCTATCTCCTGACCTGAAGTCTATGGAGTATACCCCTGTCACCTTGTAAAAAAAAAAAAAAAAAAAAAAAAGAGGAATGTACAGGAAAAGTATTACTGTGGGGAAAATAAAGTTCAAGTACTACAGGAAATCCATCCCTAAAAAGTTCAAGTACTACAGGAAATTCCCAGACCTGTAGTAATTTTAGCAAGTGCTGTCTTAGTTTGTCCTCCACTGACCGAGTTTCTGCTAGTTGTTAGAGATGTTACCGGTACCATCTCATTGACACCTCACCCTCTACAGGTCAAGGCTGCCTTTTTGTCACAGACAAGAATGCTGAACTTCAAAGTATGTAACTTTCTTGAGCCTACAAAGGAAGATGGAGCTAGAACCAAGAGATTAGGCAGAATTCGAATCAAGATCCCTAACTCCAAATCCCATGGCATGTTTCTGCTTTTAACTGAAAGAAATAAACTAATGCATTCAAAGAAGCAGACAGGTTTTCATCTCTGTAACAAGCTAGGAGGAGCTTGAGTCAGCACATGTGCCAATGTGAGCGAGAGCAGAAGAAAAACATGTGGATTCTTTATTTCTAACGAAGTAAGCTTCAGATGAAAAATATCTAGCAACTTACTAATGTTAAGATGTGTGAATTTTGAGATATTACTTAAGAGTTTGAATCTGTGATGTACAATTGTAAGGGGTTTTAAGGCATGCCTAGTAGGTTTAATCATCAAAGCTTTTAAGTAGCTGTAATTTATAATTATCATACATACATGAGCTTTTCTTTCTAAACATCACTTGCTTTGTCACTTATTAGCTGTGCAATTTGAGGTAAGCTTTCCCCGTTGCCTGAACTTAATTTACGCAATTAAAAAAATAGAATCAATGCTACATGTATTGCAATGTATTGCAAAGTTTTTACACAGAGCTTGACATACATAAAGGTAGATATTCAACAAATATTACTATCTTCACCTTTAAAAATCAGACAGATGAACTCAATTGTGTAATTCCTAAATACCTATGTTTGCATTTTCTTTCTTAGTGTTATGTATTTCTAAGTTTAAGTTGGGATCCTGTGATCAGTAACAAAATTTTATTTGCCCATTAGATACTCACTTTGACTCTGCATCTCCTTGCACAGTCTCTGAAATGAAAACCCTTCAACAGCAAATAATTCTGGGTGTCAGGGCCCTGCTGAGCTGTTGAAAACATGCCATAATATTATTTCCTAGTACAGACTAAGCTGGTGGTGATTACTCTGATGGGAGAAAGAACTAAAGTAGAATCATTATTTTTCATAACATAGTTGGCACAGAAATCTGAAAAGCCAGTCCTGATATCAAGTGGCACAGAGGCTGCCAAAGGCAGAATTTCGTGTGGACTTTTAAAATAGAGACTATCTTCTGCAAGCCAAATGACCACTACAGGCTAAGAGGCTTAATTTAAAGAGAAGTATTTCAAGTGTGCAATAGAGTTCATCAAATACTACTCAACTCATTAGGGGGAGGGGAAGGAATGATGGATCACAAGGTGCTATTGACAAATCTGATGTAATGACAGTTTCAACATGGTCAAGCACTGCAAGGACATCAGCCCAAGTCAACAAAGGCAACAAAAAAGTTGACTTGTCCATATTGATGGAACTCAGCTTTATTTACAAAAAAATTACAAATTGAGACATCTAGGTGATTTCATCAGCCACAAACACCAAAGCAGCCAACAGCCCATTACTAACTGGGGGGAAACGGGATAAAAGTAGTGGAAAAGAAGGAAAATATCAGGTTATGTAAGTCCCTGTCAGAGTCTCTTTGAGGCTACACAAGTGCCAAGTTCTGACTTTGCTCCCACACTCACTAGCAAGGACACACAGATCTGTAAAGCCTCAGCAGCCTGGATGCAAACAAGGCCTGACAATCAGATCTTGGGTGCTATGTAATCCTCAGTGCAGGAGTGTTGAAACGTAGGACCTTTAAGAGGTGATTGTGCATGGAGTGTTTAAAAGCTGTTACAGGAATAAGCCACTTACTCTAAGAGTGAATTCCCGATAAAAATACGAGTCCTGGTCCCTTCCCCAGTGTCTATAATACACACACATGCACGCAAATATCTTCCCTTCCCTTCCCAGCTTCCACCATGGATGGCACAGCTGGAAGGCCCTCTCCAGACACAGGAGCCCCTGGTTAAAGAGTTCGCAGCCTCCAGAACCCTTGTTATCAGCTACCTTTCTCATGTATTCTGTAGTAACACAAAAGGAGTAAATATACTACATGGAATGAAAGTCCCTGTCACGAATTATCCAGGCATTTTATCAGATATGAGTAGACCCACACTGAGAATCTTGAATGGATAATGGATCTAATGGCTTTATTTCCTTTCTCTTCGGAATTTCTAAGAAATAACTGCTTGGTTTTAACGCAGAATTCTTGAGGACAAAAGTTCATAGTAATGGGTAATGGCATATTTATGTTGTGTACAAATCAGTCTCCTCATTACTATGTCTGCTCACTAGGCCAAGTCCCATTGCTCCAAACCAGCATCAAGTGGCAGAGGTTAGCGAGAGAAAGCTATCTCCAATTAACAATGCTATCCTCATGTAATATTCCTGATTAAGTAGTAAAGATAGTAAAGCTGCCATATCTCAATCCTTTAGATTAAATACCGTCCAACAATAGACCTGTGTAAAGTAATGGACAAGGAATCTAAAAACTAAAAATGGATTTAAAATTTCTACATATGGACCAAAAGGTGTTGCCGATGGAAGGAGATGATGATGACAATATCTTTGGGCAATGTTTCTTTTACCTCCTTTATATTATCCTGGTGCCACCAACTCCTTCAATTTCCCAAATTTGGCTTAGCATTGTGTTTGATGGCCATGCAGTTCTAGCCTAGGCTGATTTAAAAAAAAAGAAAAACAGTAAAGGAACTAGACAACAGAAGAGGTTATTATTAGAAAAATGTGATTTCAGTTTATTTGGAGGATAACGCTTGCATTGAACTTCCGGGCACACATCAGGGGACATCAAAGTGCATTTGTAAATCTCTCCTGCTAAACCTGACACAGTCCATACAAGGCCCAAAAGAACCAAAGCATGAAAAAATTAAGATCATATTTAGGGATGGATAATCATGGCACTTTCAGGTGTACGGGCTCAGTGATGCTTGAGTCACTGCATGGATGCCTCGTGCCCACCTACTCACTCCTAAAAGTGAGGCAAGAAGAGAAAAGTCCGTCCTATCTCTGGAGAGTTTCTAGAGGTCCTTAGGGACCCACCATCCACACCTGCTTGCAGGGTGGGGGCTACAAAAGTTCTTCTAATTAAGGTAGCATGAAGGGCACCAGGCAGTCCCCTGGGATCTTTTAAAAGAAGTGAAACCGCCTGGTAAGACAGAAACTTTTTTGTATCTCCTTCGCTATGGTAAGATTACATCAAACCAAAGTAATTGGAGCAAAGACCACAGTAGCAGAAGCTACGATTTCCTGTCACCTGGTATCTAATCAGAAATCCCAGCTTCACACCTTACCTATCTCACTCACCCGCTCAGTGTGGTTGAGAAACCTGCAGCATTGAACGGAGCTCAACAGCCAGCACAGCAACGAAATCAACCTTTGAGATTGGAGACTCAGGTAAGAAATGATTTGCTTTCTTTTTGGTGGTTTTAAAAGTGTGATAAATAAGCTTAAGATGATCTTGAACACTGGAGGGTCTCGGTTTTAATTACAGGGCTTCCCCAGTCAGACTTTCCGATGCTGTCATGATTTGAAAAGGTGCAAGATCAAGGCTTCTTGCTTATCCACCCCCTTAACCACTCTTCCTCTCAAGAGCTACCCTTGGCAATCAATATTCAAGAAGGTTAGTAGATTGCAGCATGTAACTTAGAACATGGCTTCTAACTCACTGGATTCAAATTGGACCTGTGGCGTTGACAAGCCGTATGACTGGGCAAGTAACTAAACCTCAGTGAGCCTCAGATTGCTCACCTATAAAATGAGAGAAATAGTAGTAGCATCCCCATTGCAAAGACTAAATGAACTAAAATCTTGAAAGCCTTAGGACTTCTTTGTACCAAGTAAGAAAATAGTTACAGCCATAATGAAAATAACTCCATTCCTTGTGTTTTAAATATTCTTCTCTCTCCAAAGATGCTCTTGAATGTGTCTGTGTGTGCATATATAACTAGATAGCAGATTGAGCACAGAACCTGCCTCAGCACCAAAATGTAAGAAACAGTAAGAGTAGGCACTGGCAACATGAATGTTCTCACAAAGGCGACATAGATTACGTTTTAACCATGGAATATATTTTTCCTGAAACTTTCATGTATTTGTGTGTCATTCTCGTGTGTGTTGTGTGTGTGTGTGTGTGATTCCCTCTCAGCATTTCTCATAAAATGGATTAATCTCACTAATTAGGAGGTAAGCTGAAATGATCATCATTTAGGCTGGCATTCTGGGCATTTGTAAACTTGCTTTGAGGACGTAACAATTTAATATTCCCCTTAAGGCTTACAATTTGTGGGAAACAGGTTCCCAATATGACCTCATTGGGAATTGACACTTGGAACTGTTTGCACTGCATTTTAACCTGGAAAGTGGTTAGTGGCAAATGAGGAAGGTAAAGACATGAGATTTTGAGCAGAACACTCAGTGGTCAGGCAAGGAGAGTCAGACCAGCCCCAGGTGACGTAAGCGTCTAGCAATGAGTTTGAAAATGAGGAGCAAGGAAGAAACAGCATTTCAAAGCTAACAGGACTCAAAGTAGAAGGCAGAAGCTAAGTTCAGACCAGTGGTGCTAGAAGGGGACAGTAGGACACGAACTTTGAAAGTCCTGTCACCCAGACTTTCTCGTTCTCCAGGAGGCAATGACAGAGTAAGAGCTTACGCCTGGGAAGAGTATGAACTGAACAGAGATTTAGGGAATCTGGGTCAGCAGCCTTGTGGATGAGAGATTAGGGAGAGACAGATTGTGGGGTGGATACTAAGGATTTTTGTCCTACTAATCCAGGAAATGAACCCCATATTCACAGGGTAACACCAGATAGAAGAAAGATGTTCAAGAGGGAAACACAGCACAGAGGAAGGGGAGTATTCGGCCAGATGGATAGAAATGTGCCTTCAATTCTTAACGTAGAGGTGATTGAAATAAAGCTCCCTGAGGCATGATGCCTGAGGAAAAGCCCAGTCTCCACATAGTGTTTCCAGTTGAATGATTCTGACAGGAACTAATTGCAAAGTAGTGAGGACTGAGTGCATGTTGAGGAAGTGGGGGGAGAGCACAGAAGCCGTGAAGAAGCCGGGTAAAGGAACAGGGCTTCCGGGCAGTGGTTGAGGACATGGCCAGGTTAAGCAAAGTAGATTCTGGGACTGGGACACAGTGCGCATGAGCAAACAAACAAAAAAAAAAGTGGAACAGGGGGCAGTAATAATATCATCAATTATCTGATATTGTCAAAACAAGTTGCTGTGGGTGATGTAGATAACATCCCACCTTATACAGAGACCCAAGAGTAGCAACGCAACGGAACTGGGACGAATTCTCTCTGCTACCTAATAACACACACACGGAATAAAAGGCAGTAGATGCGAGGAGAGCCTGTTGGCAAGATCTAACATCTTCATATAAGGACATGGGCTGAAGAGCAGAGGGTGAGCGGAAGTGCGTTCTTCCTCAGAGAAAAGTGCGCAGGAGCAGGAAAGCATAAAAATGCAAAGCTTTTTAATCAGCAAAGGAGGAAGTTCACAACAGTCAAGAGTGTCTAAACTGCTCATTAGATGATGGGATTTTGGGGGCTTAAAAGTCATTATTCAAGCCAAAAATCAAAGTTATGAGCTCTTCCTCAGAGGATGGACACAGAACCGGCTGTGCCTTTAGAAGTCAAAATTCATTTACAGAAGTTGCTGTGTGCAATAAAATGGAGTGATGTGTGCTAAGCTGAAATAAAAATCCCATTATCATATCTTGAGTAAAACAGTAAATAACCTCGACCAATCTGCCAAGTGTTTTTTGAGTATAACTGTGTTACATAGTTTTAAGTCATTGAAAAAAAATTTTTTGATAACTGAGAAGGTAGGGCTTCAGAGACCTTTAATATTCATTTTTTGAAATATTTCCATGGGGTGAAGATATTTTTTATTACACAGTCAGCCTATAGTGACCTGGCATAAAAATCTACATATGCGCACTTTAGAAAAAAATGAAGAGTCATATAGAAACACATGGCTATACACTACTGTCTTATAGTAATATCCATTGTTGAAGAGTTCACTAAAATATAGTTGCCACTGTTGGGCATCTCTCACCACTGCCACCAACACCACGAACAGGATTATCATTGCCCTTGGTGACTACAGAAACAGCCAGAGTAGAATTCACTTGCATAAAAGCAATAATAATGCAGACAAAACCCAGATCAAGAAGTTGATAAGGGAGAAATTAAAACAACGATACTCCAATAATTTCTTTCCAGTATCACAACTAATGACCTTCGTGCTCTATCTTCAGTAAAATTACTACTCCGGAGAGTAGCTTCTAGAACATTCCATATTTGCCATTAGACACTGGTAAAACTAATTAGTCTCTTCTAACCTGATTTCCATATCATCCCAGAGGAAATGAAATGCCTGCTTAGTGAGAAAGCTGTTCAGAAAGTTTGAAAAATGACAGTGTCCCTGGAATACAGTGGGTGCTCAACTATACACCTTTCTCTGATCTCGACTAGCTGTGATGCAGAAAGACCATCAACATTCCAAATGTTGAAGACCGTCAAGCAGTTTGGCTCTGTTCCTAACTGTGAGGATTTTACCAAGCCATCTCCCCTACCCAAGTGTGGCTTCCACATTTGTGAAGTGAACGGCATGGTTTTTGAGGGTTTAGCAGCTCTAAAATTTCTTCCTGGTGACCAGGTCAATTTACAAGCTCCTTAGTGAGCTAAACGAATGCATTCTTATTGTCAGTGGTCTTTGGGAGGTTGTTTTGTGGCACAGAGAAATCACTAAGACTATTAAACAGGACAGCTGGTAATCTAGGGCAGCGGAAAAAGTCGAATGAGAAACACTTAGCCTCATCTCTTCCCTCTGGTCCATGTCCCAGACAGATGACCTGTTTTCGGTTGATTTGTGTTCATTTAAAAAATGAGATCTATTTGAAGAAGAGAGTTATTATGGGAAAGGCTGGATACATCTTCCCCATAGAAGACGCAAAGCACCCTGATACCATGGATAGTTCATTTGGTAGACCCAGTGCCTCATTCAACATCTTTAATAATGATGTAACTTTGATACATTCAGATATGATATAGCACACTGATTTCCTCCAAGAGAGTGTTATTATGGTTTTTACTCTATAGACTAACAAAATTGAAATGAATGCTCTGGCAAGAAAAAAACAAGAACAACAACATAATAAAATAATATTTAGACAGACGATTGGTTTGATTTTCTTCAATAATGCTTATTACAAAGTTACTTAGCCATTATTTTACATACTAAGAAAAATCACAAAAATCTCTGCTTTGGTGGAATTATCTGTGGAAACAGACAGAAGCAAACAAGTAAATAAGACAACTTCCCATAGTGGCAAGTGTCATGAAGCAAATATTCTCCTTAAGGACATTATGAGAGAAAATACAGCTGATATTTGAGCTACCCCTAAATGAAGTTATACCAGCCATGTGCAGACCATCGGCTCATTATATCCTGTAGTATTCTATACGATGCAAACTATTATTCCTTTACAGTTGAAGAATTTAAGGCACAGAGATTTTTAAAGCACTTACCCAAAGTCTCAGAGAAAACAGAAGACTCCCTGGTTAAACCCCAGGGCCCTAAGGGCCCATGGGCTCACATGACGTCAGAGAGCCTCCTCCACATGACTTGCAGCATTGGAGCAGGTAGAAGTCCAGAGCTCCTCCTTATGTGGAGGACAGTCCTTACCAAACTCTCCTGCTGCCACCTCAACAGTCAAGGACAAATCAGAAAAATATGTCCTCCAAAAAAGCATCAGGGACGAAAATCAACCAAAGCATGTGGACATATATGCACACATTATTTGTTTCACTTTTAGGATTGAGAGTGAAATGACAACACCCAGAAATTCAGTGAGTGCAAAGTGCCCATCGGGATCCATGAAGGGCCCAATTGGCCTGCAGCCTGTTCCAAAAGTATCCTTCAGGAAGTCGTCTCCAGTGGTGGGCCCCACACAAAGCTGCTTCTTGCGGGAATCGAAGGCTTTGGGGGTAAGTCACTTCCCTGTATTCCACAGCCTGGGGAGTCTGCAGCCTCCAAAGCTGATGGTATAAAGCTGTGTGCAGAATTCTATCCCTGATCCAGTGGGACAGCACAGGGAGGTATCAGAAAAGTTATCACCGGATTCATCTCACAAGGTGATTTTTTTAAAAGATTTATTTATTTGAGATACAGATTTCCAGAGAGTAGGAAAGGGCGAGGAGGCAGAGAGAGAGAGAGAGAGAGAGAGAACTGGTTCACTCCCCAAATGACCACAAAAACTAATTTGGCTGATTTGAAGCTAGGAGAGAGGAGCCAGGAGCTTTTTCCTATCTCCAATGTGGCCCAAGGTCTTGGGCCATCTTCTACTGCTTTTCTAGGCATATAAGCAAAGATTGGATCAGAAGGGAACAGCTGGATCTCAAATCGAGCCCATATGGTATGTCAGCATTGCAGCAGCAGCTTTACTTGCTATGCCGCAGTACCAGCCCCATTTTCTACAACATCGAACTTACTGGTTCCATAGCTTTATGCGAGTCTGTGAATCCTCAGAATTCAGCATATATAAAATCTTCTCACCTGAAAATACAATTTTACTGTCTCTCTTCTATTTTTAAAATATTTATTATCTATTTGTTTATTTGAAAGTCGGAATGAAAGAGGGAGGAAGGAGTGATTGCGCAAAGGAAGGAATGAGGGAGGTGGGAAGAAGTGAGGGAGAGAGCGAGAGAGAGACATCCATCTGTCTGTTCACTCCCTAAATGCTCACAATTCCTGGGACTTGATTAAGCTGAACTCAATCCAGGTTTCCTGCAATGGTGGTAAGGTCCCTGATAGCCAGGCCACATAGGCAGACAGCTGTATCGCAAGTGGAGCAGCAGAGATACACACGTGCTAATATATAATCCTGCACGACAGATGGCAGCTTTACCCACGACACCACAGCACCAACTGCTCACGGGGACCTTACCTTATAAAACATCTTTGGTTTGAAGGCTTGTATTTTTGGCATCTCTTAGTCCATTGTTAAAATCCTAGGCTTGCCTGTTCCTTGATAATGCCCTCAAGTGGTGGGATATGCAGAATTGTGTAACAAAAGAGCAAAATTCAGTTTAGCACCTTGTCTTCTTTCTTTACCCATTCTGAACAGACCCACATCAGCAGCCAGGGCTACCAGTCTTACCTTCACCTGCCATCAGTGGTTTCAGATCATCCATCAGCACCTGTGTTCTTTCCCCAGGCTGTCCAGATCATGAATGGACTCTTCCACATTGCCCTGGGGGGCCTCCTGATGATCCCCATCGGGGGTCTTCATGTACCCATCAGTGTGGCTGTGTGGTATCCTCTCTGGGGAGGCATTATGGTGAGTGGAAATGAAATAATTTTGGAATTCTTATGGTAACTAATTTAAAGCACAAATTATTTCTGCATTCAAGAAAATAGGTGGGTTGGAAGTCAGTTATCCAGTTGAAATAACTAGGTGGGAAGAAAGGCTGACTATAATTGTGAATCCCATGGTTGGCCATTGATGATCATGCTTTGTGTAAATTCAGAGCAGAGTGTCCGACGAGGATCTACCAAGAAAAGTAAGACTGCTCGAAGCAGGACCTTTCCGCCACAAACCTTGACGGGAAAGGCAGTGAACATCTGCACCATCCAGCACAGTGTTTGCGAAAGTGAAACAGAATAGATGTAGCACATCATTTCCCCCACCCCGATCTTTTCATTCCCTGCCATTCTTCTGCTGCTGTATCACCTGGTGAAATTAGCCTTATCCCAAATAAATCTTCCTTTGACTATCCACAGAGCAGCACCCACTTTTACTTGTTTCACGGGCATGTTCTCCTGCTTTGTTACTCTGCCCAGACATGGTATGGCTGAAGTATGTTTATCTCCAGCTGACTTTTCATGGCTTCCACTCTGAAAATGAATCCAGTTTCAAAATTTTTAGAATGAATATCCTCTGTGAACATTAAGGAAGAAGATGACAAATAACCATCATTTCCTAAAGCAGCCAACAGCTTAGTAGAGACTATCACATTCAGGCCAACTCCCTTCTGCTATACTGATTCATTCTTCATTGGTGTCAACATGACTTGAAGTGTCATGATCTCCAGAGATCATCTCCATAAATAAAGGGAAAAATTAAAGATAAAACTTTTAAATTGTGACTATGAATTGAGAGGGTGTGATTTCTGTCTTTGTTGTCTTATGTTCCTAGTACTGGATCCCCTAGATGATTGGATGACAGGGATTGGACATGGTTAAGGCTAAATAAAGAAAAGACACAACTGCTGTGAAGTGACTGGCCCTGATAGTGATGGAGTATTGTTTACTGAAAGGGGTAGAAGCACAGATAACTTCTTTACAATCAATTCTTAATATAAAAATGTAATCTGCCTCTGTCTCCACCTTTTCTCCTTCTCCCACCTTCCCCTGCTTCTCTTTTTACAGTATATTACTTCTGGATCACTCCTGGTGGCAGCAGAGAAAAGCCCCTGGAAGAGTCTGGCAAGTAATCCTATGTCTTTTTTTCCCACACATCAGAGAAATACCCATTCTCTCAGTTGAAAATAGGACCCTTAAGAAGCTTCAGAATCACAGATCCTCACTCCTTCAAAAAAAAAAAACCCACAAAAAATCAAAGGACCCTCTATAGTGGCCTGTGATTTTATTTATTTAAAACTTGGAAGAGAGATCCACCTGAACTACATCTGTGGAACCAGAACTAAAGGCAAAACAATGAAGCCTGCATTTACAGTACCATGAATGTTATATGCTGTGTGGAATTAATAGACCTTTTTAAGAGCTGTGTCATTCCTTCAAGACCACGAGTTAGGAAAATATTCAATGTAATTGATTCAAGGTCTAGTTAGAGCCTTAATTGGTAGCCTTGAGCATGCCAGGCTACTCCTGTGCACTTCTGAATTTTCACCTGTAAGATGGAGGTAAGAGTCCTTGCTGCCAGAGAAAATCAGCACGAGGATGAGAGAGTGATGTGTGTTTGACTCTAAAGAGCTGTGGGTGGTATCAGTCATGTAATTCCTGGGGACTTACTATATCCAGGAAGAGGATGTCAGCAAGTTTTCCCCCCAAGAAAAGCCTTTCCCATAACTCTTAGGTTTACTAAACTGTATTAGTTTTAAAGCCAGTGAGGGACTGAGTGTATTGAGATGGTTCTTTTAAGGAAGTGATCTAACAAACTTGGTGTTGGGTGGGAAAACTGCTCAGTAAAATCAAATTATTCAAATAGTTAAGACCTACTGTCTTCCCATCTGTAGAACACACGACTAGGCATGAAATAGGTGTCATAAAATGGTTATTAGCTCAAAACCCTTATAAGTACTTATCACAAGTATTTTTTCAACATTTTACCAGCACTGCAATGTAGAATATTCACTCCGACAGTCTCTGTGCTACCCAGAAACTTCAGTCCTTAGTGCACTTTGAAAGAGTGTAGAATGGAACTAATCATGACCAATGTATCTTCATGGAATGCAGGTGGTGGCATTGTTGCTGCTTTTTCCTCCAGTGTGATGGTACACATTTTCCCAATCTATTTTCATAGTACTATTCCACTAAGTAGAACGTAGAAACCCTTTTCTCTACTTTTTATATAGACAATAATTAAGTATTATTTATCTTAATTTATATAAGAAATATTTGATGAATACAATAGTGACCATGAATGATGTGTAAGAATACAAGATATAATTATTAAGGATGGCTACTAGAATTTTGGCTTGGCAAATGAATGGATGGTGGTTAGAATAGATGGGGGAGACAGGGAAGGAGAAAGGGACGCAAAAATTATGTATCCACACAAAGAGACTAAAAACCAAGGAAAGAACTCTAATACAGTTTAGGCTCAGTGACTATGACTGAGGCAATGGCATCTAGAATTTTCTCCTATCATATATTTTCCTAGTGGAAAATGAAACCTAACGAACAAATCATGTGTCTTAATTTCAGGTCAAAGGAAAAGTGATAATGAACTCACTGAGCCTCTTCACGGCAATTTCTGGAATAATTCTTTTGATAATGGACATAGTTAATATTAAAATCTCCCATTTTTTAAAAATGGAGAGTCTGAATCTTATTAGAACCCCCACACCACTTATTAACATATACAACTGTGAACCAGTGATCCCCTCTGAGAAAAACCCCCCATCCACACAGTACTGTTACAGCGTACAGTCTGTCTTCTTGGTAAGTGGGAATTTGTTTTCTCTAGGGAGGAATTGGGGAATTGTTACCGTGAGCATCAACTCTGGGTCCATTCTTACTCATTCTGCTCCTTTTGGCCTGTGTAGCTTTGGCTTGTGATTTAACCGCACTCTGCTCTAATTCATTCAGCTGTTAAATAGGTACGGCAACACTAATTATAGAGCTGGTTTCACAGATTGATGAATTTATATGTACAAAACACCAAGAACAGTGCCTGCTGCAGATGAAGTGCTATGTGCTTGCTTTAGTGTTACTTATTATTAATCAATAATCATGTTAATATTCATTGATTATCCTCAATGACTAAGATAAACATGAAATAAATGCCTAACAAATGCTTTTTCCCTCAAGAGTGTTTAGTATAGAGTTTGAGAGGCATGACATCACATCACCTATAGCTGGAAACAGTGTAATTTTTGATTTAGTAGCAACCATGTACTTTATGCTACTGCTGCATTTTTACCTTTATTCTTCATTTTTGTTTTTTTTCCAGGGCATTTTCTCTGTGATGCTGATCTTTGCCTTCTTCCAGCAACTTGTGACCGCTGGGATTGTTGAAAATGAGTGGAAAAGAATGTGCTCCAGACCCAAAGCTGTGAGTAGCAGTCACTATGTCTCTAACCCCTCCTCCAGAAAGTTCAGATCCACAAAGAAGAACATTTATGGGATAGTATCTCATGAGACTTAGAAGGCAGGAATTTCAGGATAAATGATCTTGGCATGTTTCTGGAAAAGCAGAAAATGCCAACAGTAAAGAAAAATGTCTCGAAATTGTAATTCCATAGTTAGATAGTGAGGAGGGTTACAGGTTTTATGCACTCTCTTAGTAATCATTTCTGCCATTCTGCTGCCATAATTCTGTTTTTAATGTGTAAAAGCGGAATGTTTGACGGTTGAATGAAGGCAGATCGCAGTCATCACTTCTATCATGTTATACCCGAGAAACATGTAATGGTTTTGAAATCCACTTAATTTTTCTTCTGTTCATGTCAACAACTTCTGTCCTCAGAGATATTTCCCAGGTTGTTAGGAGCATTCTTAATTCAGTAGTCCATGGCAGCACTTATGTTCATAAGTAACAGCTCTTGCTGCTTTAAATATTAATATGGAATGAAACTGACAGCCATTATATCTTGTCTAAAAAATTAACCTCTCCATGTCCGAGGGACCTGTTGCTACTTACACAACCATGGTTAAAATATCACATTGTTTCTTATGATTGAAATTAAAGATTATTTAAATAAATTTACATCTCTTGGATGGCAAAATATTTTACTTCACTGAATATTTGAAGTAGGCTTAATATACCTCAAAACCTACCAAACTTACAAAGCAGTGTTTTAGTTCTTTATCTATTTAGAGATTTCATGGATTTTGCCTATATAATTTTAAGCCCAAAATTAAACTTCTAACTTTCACTCCCTTTTTCTTCCTTTTTTCCCTTTTATTTTTATGATAACATCCTTTCAAGTTACTTTACACTGCCATGGTTAATCTTCCACTAAATAGAAGATTAAGCCAGAAGCAAATAAAAGTAACATTGTTTCACAGAGTGTAGGCAAGAACTATACACAGAAAGGGAACAAAGACACAACTGATTGGTCACATAATAATTATGTGTATATCCATGTGAACATGAGCACATGTAGTTCTAAATGAGAGTGTTAAACTGGAATGACTGGACACATATTAAATACCTTAGGTGCCTAAGGTACAGAGTAGAATGGGATTATGGACAAAGAACTTAAGAGAAATTAAGAGTTTGCAAGGGCTTATACAAAGTATCTCATTATGAAATGTGATTCCTTCACTTTTTTGCATATTTTATGTCAAAACGCAAACCCCTTATGCAGGGATGAGTGAAATTATTTTATATGTGACTGTATTGGAACATTGAAGATACTCTCATGTTTGAAAATAATAATAAAGCATTCTCCTGAGTCGTTTGCCCTGTAGGAACAGAAACTCCCTTTCCAAGAGTTATATCCACTGGGAAAATCACAACTAGTACCAAACCCCTCTGTAACTGCAATTTTCTTATCTCATTGTTGCATGTTCATTCCAGAAAAAAGTGGCAATGATCTGGAGCCCTTCAAGATTTACTCAGACTTGAGTTTGGATAAATGGGTTATCTGATCAGGACTTGAGCACTTGGGAATTCAGTCTCGATATGTGAAAGTAGTCAGTAAGTAACCAAGACAACAGATTAGCTAGGAAGAGTCTGATGAATATGCACAGGTTGTTGAGAAAGGTAGCAATGGCAAAAGTCAAGAAAGGTTTCATTTTGTGTTCTAGAATGTGGTTCTCCTGTCAGCTGAAGAAAAAAAGGAACAAACAATTCAGATGAAAGAAGAGGTAGAGCTCACTGAAGTATCTATCCAACCGAAGAATGAAGAAGACATTGAAATTATTCCTGTGCAAGAAGAGGAGGAGGAACCAGAAGTAACCTTAGCAGAACCTCTCCAGGATGAGGAATTCGCTCCAGTAGAAAATGATGATTCACCTTGAACCATTTCTTCTGCTTTCTGTTATTTTTCTTAGGTATCAGTGCTCAAGCTTCCATCAGATATAGTTGTCCACACTTTTTGAAGTACCCTGCACATCTGCTTCACATTTATAGCTGGTTCTTGCAAGGAGTGACTAATTTTCCTTTCTCTCACACTCAGAGAACATAACGATTATGGCAGACTGTGTTGTCATGTTTCGTGTTTGGGACGATGTTCTTATATTCAGAAAAGGAGTGATTACTGTGGAATGTGATCTCACACTAGCCTTTGCATTGCTTTCATTTTTCAGCAGCAGTAGTGGTAATATTATGTTTTTCATCACTTCTGTCAGCAACAGACTCCAAGCCTGATGGAAAAAATCAATAATTGCTTCATGCTGCTCCTAAACTACCTTCAGTTCCTTCCACATTTGTAGTTTTGTGGGGTCGTTTATGCATCACTGTTTTAAGAAAAATAAAAGGCGTGATAATGAGAAACAGTACGGAATCTACTCCACATATATTACTGTGGGGCAGACCCCAGCATATTCTTAGAGACTCCATAATCTGTTAGAAAGCCTTAAGCAGCCCTACCCAACCCTTTCTGTGCACCAACAGCATAATTAGGCATGTTTCATCTGCTTTAACCTTTCCAAATTCATGCTCTACGCTCATGGCCACATTGTCTTGAGGCAGAAGAATGACTTTTTAAAAGGCTATAATGAACACCCAAATCTCAAGTAATAATTGACACATTTACAGAATATTTCCAAGTGACAAAGTATTTTATGAAATAGTTTTATCTGCTCTTCTCAAAGCAAGAAAGAGCATTATTTTACAAGTGATTCGGAGAATGTATAAATAAAAGGTAACTTTTCAAAAGTTTCAAATTTCATAGTTATGAGAGACTTTTTCACACCCAAATCACCTTCTTCAAATCTTGTGATCTTTGAAATAATCAACTGTCCACCCAACACCTGCATAACCTACTAAGTTACAGTTAGCAGGTTTTATGATGGAATCACTTTCTGGGTCAGCGCTAAACGGGTATGAAGAGAAACGTAGATTCAAAAACCACAGTTTATCTTTTGGGAATAAAAAAAAAAGAGGCATTCAGAGTACTTGAAAACTCATGTCAGTTAGCTAGCAGACCGTATAAACAAAACACAACGTGCTGCAGATAGTCTCCGAAGGAAAGTCATGCTTGGCGATAACATCATTAAAATGCCAAGGCTAAGTCCACAGCCATCCTGTTTGTTTTGGTTCTTGTTCCTATTTATAGATACTAGCACCTTACCTACAAAGACCATTATCCTAGGAAGACATCATTAATAAACATTCCACCATCTGTGACCATCTGCTATACGTGTTGAGTGCTACAAAACAGGGGCAGGTGTAGAGAAAGTGCCGTACCCATTTTGACAGGGATGCTCAATGGAGGATATTCCATATAATTAGGGGGAAAGAGTTCTCCTGTAATTGGAGAAAAAAATCTTTTTCATCTATAAAATTCTAAAATTCAGCTCTAAAAAAATAAAACTTGGGCCCAGCAGCGTGGCCTAGTGGCTAAGGTCCTCGCCTTGAACGTGCCGGGATCCCATATGTTCGCTGGTTCTAATCCCGGCAGCTTCACTTCCTCTCTATCTCTCCTCCTCTCTGTATATCTGACTTTGTAATAAAAATAAAATAAATCTTTTTAAAAAAAACTATATGATTTCTAATCTGCAAAAAAATGAATTCATTCGTATTTTCGCATTTGTCTTTAGATTTTTAACATCAGATCATTGAAGGTTCCTCTAGCCTTGGGCTCATAGTCATAGAACCCTGATCTGGATGTGAGCTTGAGATGCCAGATCACTGAATAATAATTTCAGTGTGTTCTTACACATTCTCAAGGAGTGTCTTAGAGGAGTAGGCTATTGACAGCGTATTTCCCACTCTCAGGGCTCCAGAATGTAACTGAAATAGACAGCAAATGTTTCTGCCTTGAACTAGAGATGAAGAAAAGAGACTATGGCAATCGCAGTTGTAAGAGGAACAATTCAGAAACCCTTTAAAAACATTTTGTAATTTTCATTTCTGAACTTATACATAGACGATGTAATATATGCTCATTTCACATTTCGGGTGCATAACTAAAGCACCCACTGGAGGTAGGGATTCAAATACAAAACCTTCCCAGATCACATCTGCAGTCCTTAAAGAGCCTGCCTTCACTTCAGGCTTGGAGGGGTCCTAAGACAGACAACTAAGAAACAGGAAAGGAACATGGAAGAACTATATGGTGGCAAAAGAAAGGATTCTGCCACCCAGCCATCCTCTGATGACTTCATCTCTTCTCTACCAAAAGAGCAAAATCCCGAAGGAAAAACACAATCATTGAACAAAATCACTAGTTCACTCACCCCAGATATTTCTGTGTCCCAGTCTACTCTGAGTGCAAAGTGGGTGAACAAAAACTGGCAGACTGCCTCCTCTTGCATACTACTGTTTGGTCAGAGAAAGAGATTAGCAATAATGTTCAGGCATTCACAGGAGTAATGCTACCATTAAAAGCAGAAATACATATATATATATTATAAATATATATATTATAAATATAAATATACACACACACGTTTCACTGAAGGTGACCCAAAAAATAGTAATAATATATATTTTTAAAGATTAATTTATTTTTATTGGAAAGACAGATACATATAGCGAACAAAAGAGATAGAGAGAAACATCTCTGGTCCGATGATTCATTCCCCAAGTGACCACAACGGCCGGTGCTGAGCCGAGATGAAGCCAGGAGCCAGAAGTTCTTCTGGGTCCCCCACGACAGTGCAGGATCCCAAGGCTTTGGGCCGACCTCGACTGCTTTCCCAAGCCACGAGCAGGGAGCTGGATAGGAAGTGGGGCTGCCGGGATTAGAACCGGTAGCCATATAGGATCCCAGGTCATTCAAGGTAAGGACTTTAGCCACTAGGCCACAACACCGGGCCCTAATAATACATATTAAAAGATAACCAGTGAGTGTAAAAAACTGTCAATGGGAAAACATTCATTTCAGCAAATGAATGTAGGACAAACTGGATAACTACATATATATCCACTCACACAATATATTAAAAAGGAACTCAAAGTGGATCACAGGCCTTTTTACAGCAGGATAACACTATAAAACCCTTGAAACACAGATAAAAGCTGTGAGACTCTGGATTAGGCAATGATTTCTTGAATATAGAGCTAAAAGTATATGCAACTAAAGGGAAAATTTTCCATCATCAAAATGCAAATACAATCCTCGGAATGTGGGATCTATTTGCAAATCACGTATCTGTGAAGATTCAGTGTCCTGAATGTATACATTTAAAAGTTAACCTGATATGGGCCCGGCGCGATAGTGTAGTGGTTAAAGTCCTCGCCTTGCACACGCTGGGATCCCATATGGGCGCTGGTTCTAATCCCAGCAGCTCTGCTTCCCATCCAGCTCCCTGCCCGTGGCCTGGGAAAGCAGTTGAGGATGGCCCAAAGCCTTGGGACCCTGCACCCGTGAGGGACATTGCAGCCGCCTGGGGAATGAACCATTGGATAGAAGATCTTCCTCTCTGTATATCCACCTATCCAATAAAAATAAATAAATCTTTTTTTAAAAAAGTTAACCTAATATGAATATTTGCAAAGGATTTGAATATGTATTGATCCAAAGAAAATGCACAAATGGGCTGGCATTGTGACAAGGAGTGTTGAGCCACTGCTTGCAAGATCTACATCCTACTTTAGAGTGCTGGCTCAAGTCCTATCTGCTAACTTCTAATACAACTCCCTCCCAATGTGTCCGGTGAGACACCAGAAAATGGTCCACGTCCCTGGACCCCTGTCAACCCACACTGGAGATCCTGGATGGAGTTCCATCTTCCTGAGTCTTTGGTTTAACCTGGCCATTGGTATTGTGTCCATTTGGAGATTCTTCACACCATACCACCCCAACCACCAACACCATCAGTCCCTGTTTCATTTCTCTCTCTCAAATTATTTTTAAAGTAACAGATGCTGATGGGAATTTGGAAAAATTAGAACCCCCATTTAATTAAAGAAGGAATGTAATGTGATATAACTTCTCTGAACAATTGTCTGACAATTTCCCAAATGTGCGTTTACTACTGTTTGACCCAGAAAGTCCACTGCTCAGGATACACCCCAGAGTAGTGAAAACAAAGCAGCTCACAAGTGAATGTTCACAGTCATAATAAGAAAAAAAAAGTGCAAACTCAAGGACTCATCAGCTGATGAGTCAATATAGAAAAGAAAATGACACATCCATATAATGAAACATTTTCATCCATCAAAGGAGTAGAAAGCAGGTACATGTTGAAACACGAATGGACCTTGACAATATCAGGTTAAGTGCAAGAATCCAGGCATTAAAGGCCATATATATTCTTTGATTGTTTTTAATAAAATGTCCAAAATGGACAAATCCGTGGAGAAGAAGTAGAGCAGCAGTTCCCAGATGTTAGGGGTCCAGGAGGAGAGTGAGGATTTGAACTCATGCATTCAGGTCTCTTTGGGGAAGCGATCAAAATGCTTTGAAATTATTAGTGATGGTTGCACAGTTTTGTGAAGCTATCAACACTTCATGGGTTTGAATCACATCTTAATTTTTAAAAATTCTAAAACATAACCCATGACATACAAGAGAGAAAAGCAAACATATGTGAGAGAGAGATGCACTAGCCCTTGGCCCATAATAAATGCTTAATAACACAGGATAAGACAGAGTAAAGTCAATGAGGTTAGAATATCATGTACATTTAAAAAATGATGGAAAAGAAAAGTTTTGAGTTCCCTGTTGGTAACAGGGAGAAATTACATGGAGGGGAAAAAAGGATGAGTGTCCCAGGTAAGAGAAGCAATATCTACTCAGGATAAAAACAGAAGGTAGAACGCTGCACTTAGGGATGCTGATTGAATAACTAGGCTGACCTGTGACCAAATTACAGCATAGTCAGAATTCAAACAGTAGAGAAAAACTGCAGCTAGACCATTCAGGGTCTCAATGTTAAGAATTTTTATGTTTTTGTTCTTTTTGCTTATTCTAAATTTTCTAATCCTAACTACTAAAAGTCTTAAAATTTTCATGAAGTACCCAGAATATCTGGACTATGGCTAGTAATTATTTAAGAATCATTTGATGTGTCTGAGTATTTTGGAAAGTAACAAATCTCAAATAGCAGTCTAGAAAATAAATGAGACAGCAAGCGCAAGCAGACAATAGACTAAGCAAAGTGTAGATTTCAGGGATATTTAACACAAGTTTTAAATAACCTGGAGGAATCCATTAGATATGAAGGAGTGGAAGAGGAAGACATTCTCTCAACTGTGAATTGTGTGTAGGGGAAGGACAGAAAGAGGGTCAGACTGGTGATGACGCTGGTAAAGAAAAATGGAGAGTTGAAAAGGGAAGTGAATCGTGAGCTCAGATCGGACTGAGCTATTGGTTCTATCTATAGTTTTTCATTGTAGATGAGAGATTCATTATGAAAAACTGTGAATACTTAGATAATCAGGCTTTGAAATCAGATCAAGAACAAGACTGAAAAGGAAATTACATGAATTAGTCACTTAAAATTAATGGACTACTATAAAACTAGAGTTCCCTGGGGAAAGGTGACACTGCAACAGAAGTTCACATTTAGCTGTCAGACGAAGTCACACTAGAGAAGGTATAACTAAGGGTTTCAGGGACGGTCGGAGAGGGCCTTCAAAGGGTCTCTTGGAAGCCACCGAAGAGAGGCAGGAGAGCAGTGCTACAAACACTGAGAATTACATGAAGCTTACGGAACTGGCCATCGTGAGGTCGTTTGTCAGCACTCGGGGCAAAAATTTCAGGAAAGTGTTAAGCAGAGAAAACAGATGTGGTGTGATAGCATCCAGAGGGTGAGGACACATTCTGCTTTGGAGACATTTGGGTGCACGGAAAAGGGTAAGATGAGTACGTGGATGGCAAAGAATCAGGGCAATGGAAGGTAGACTAAATCCTGCAGACACAGATACAGATGAAATTATATCCACTTATTAAATTCAATCCCTACCTATTAAGCACCTGTCATGTGCTTGGTATACAGTGCTGGAGGTAGAGAAAAAAGTCCCTATCCTGATGCAGTTTACAGAATTCAGATGCATTAACCTGCATGGGACAACTGTGCAGTCAAGAGGATGGTACAATGTTTGGACATCGCTATGCATTTAGTGCTAAGGTATGACCACATCATGTACAACCGGATATTCTAATAAATGATAACTGCAGATTACCTTTCCAATGCTCTTGATTTTTTAAAATAATTTTTAATTTTTATTTGAAAA